CTGACCCACCCCCTTGCAGTGCCACGGCCAATTCTTTAGTGTTGTCAGTTAACGTTGACGTCGACGAACACGTCTCTCGATCATTTCCAGATATACTCTATAGGGGAACGGTCAGGACTCATGGCTGGCCAAGGCATATGGACAATATGTTGACGCTGGAGGTAGTCATTCACGACACGAACGCGGTGGACACGGGCATTATCATCTTGAAAGCTGAAACATCGACCTGCACGTTGAGCAAAAGGCAGAACTATCGGTCACGGTAGCACACACCAGTGACCCTTCCTTGAACAATATGCAAGTCCGTTCTGCCAATCATGGCGATTCCTTCCCATACCATAACAGACCCACGCCCGAATCTGTCATGCTGTCTGACGTTAAGTTAACGTTAGTATGACGCTCATTTACACACCTCCAAACGCGAGCACGCCTATCGGTGAAATCCAGAGTAAATCTGGACGCATCTGAGAACATTACACGCGCCCATCGACGATTACCCCAATTTCTACGCTGCCTACACCATTGATGCCTGTTTGCCATGTTCTGGCGAGTTAATGGAGACACAACACGCGGTCGTCGCGAATGCAAATTGGCTGCATGTAGCCGATTTCTAATCGTGTGGGGTGTAACTCGAATTCCTGTAACTTGGTACAAGTTTACAGAAAGCTGATTGGCCGTTTGTCCTCGATTTCGCAGGATCTGTGTACGAATGTATCGATCCTGGGCTTGTGTAGTGGCTCTAGGACGACCCGAACGAGGTCTATCATCAACATTGTGTGTTTTTTGGTACCGGTTCCACAGTCTGCTCCTTGTGTAGAACCCATTTGAAGCATGCCAATAGCACGTGACGTTCATCATGTGGAAGACGTCTCATTGCAAATTAAACGTAACACACTAAAGCAAAGATACGCTAAACAGCAAATCTTATGCAAGAATCGATAGGAAAGCAAACACGGATAGGATAAACGAGCACGCAGCAGTTTTCATCAACTCTTCCTTGAAGTGTCAGATTTGACAATGAACCCCTCCCACGTGTATGGCGCTATTGCGTGTCGCACGTGCAGCTCAGTGATTCCGTTGGGGCGATAAGTTCTTCATCTGTGAACATACTCTCAAAGCATGTCAAGTGTCCATGACTATTTATCATATCACAACCTGCATAGGTATTTGCATTTCAACATCCCCTACTTTTTTTGAAGGAAGTCAACGTCCAGAAACGAACCGGGTTGGGTGGCCGAATTATTTAATGCGTATTCTTTTCGTATATCTTCCTGTGTCCTGTCTGTCGAGTAGACGTTACATCCCGTTTCTCTCTCTCTGTAGTTCACAACAAAGCATCCACAAGGGACTAGTGGTTATTCTATTTAGCATTATACCTTCCTCTCGCTTAATTCAAAATGGAAAATTGAACGCTCATGGGGGCGGGGGGGGGGGGGGGGGGTTAAAGCTCGGTTAACTTTTAACGACTCGTTAACATGGAGTTAATTGGTTTTAACGGAGAGAAAGGCTGTTGCTGGAAGTCCCGTTAACTTTAAAATGTTGTTAACACGCCGTTATATTTAACGGAGGTGTTGGGCTCCGTTATCTGTTTAACGATGGCATCAGTCGGCGTCAGATTACCAGTGTAATTCTCTATACAACATTCTAGAGGATTGGGCGATTGGCGGGGATGGGCTATTCAATTTCCTATAGTATTCTACAGAATTTTGGTGACCTGTAAGAAATAACGGCCCTAAATACTCTACAATTTCTTTAGTGCAAATCCCTTAATTTTTCCTACAGATTTATACTCAAATTTCTAAGAGAAAAAATAATAAAGTATTCTATAGTTTTTTTTATATTGTTTTCTGTAGTAAATTCTACAGTTATCTTTTTGTCTTTCAAGTTGTATTCAGTTTCTTGTTAATTATACATGTACATTGATTGACAGCTAGGTATTTTCTACGAACGATTACAGTAAGGTAGATCAATAAATCTAATTTAATAAATCAACAATTGTTTTGAGAATCTTAATACTATTAGTATTCTCTTCTTGCCTTACCAGGGAGCTTCCGAGAGATTAATTGTATTAAAGCAAAAGATGCCACTCCTAACAGTAAATTATGAAGTAAAAAAAAAACAAAAAAACAAAAAAAACTAAGCGAACGTAATTTTCTAAAGCTATTGTAACAGGCAAAAAGAATCGTTAATGGAGGTAAAAAACTGTTATTCCGAATCGTTAATGGAGGTAAATCGCTATTATTTGACCCCTAGAAATGGACACAAATGGATCGCAACGCATATAATAATGTAATATGAATGTATACTGATTTACTTTAAATCGTTTCTGTTTTTAATGTAATGTTTAATCAGTTATGTTGGCAACATACGCGAAGAGTCCAAATTGCATGGAAGTCTATGCATGGCGTCTAGTTATTCCAGTCTACATCGGTAGTTTTCTCCTGTGGGGTATGTGCATTCTAGCAAGCGATTCGTGTGCAAATTTTCATTTTGTCTTAATTACATATCAGAAGCCCACATTTTCACAGTAAGATTACAACATCAATGTTGATTTAAACTGACAAAGGCTGCGGATGACATTGAGTTGCAACTTTGACGTCATTGGCAACCCACCGCCCTTTACGTCACGTCATTCATTCAGCAGACGGCTGTCTTTCGAGACGATTTACATTTTCTTATTTGCTTCTTTGTATTCAGTATTGTTTATTCTCGATTCCATCGAATACTAAAAATGTTTCTCACTTGACTTAGAACATTTAGTTTTAGACTACTTGGCTTTTTTTTAAATACATTTCACCGATGTGGTTACTTTGTATAGCTGAATTTTACTTCTATATGCTTGCCTTCATATTTGTTGTAACATGAAGCAGATCATGACTCATGCTGACATTATACAATGGTTTCTCTGGTTTATATTCCTGATTGTTTTCAAATTTGAATAAAGACTGTATCACTACAGGCCCGGGACTGTACAGCGCAGTCGACGCTTACGGCTAATCCCCGGATCCATTCACTTAATTTGATATGTTCGTTTGTTTGTGATTTGTTTGTATTTTGTCTTGTTCGTGGATTTGTATTTTGTGTAAATTATGTGTGGTGCAGCCCCACATTTCTTTCGTTCCTGGAGTTTTACGTCCACTTCCATCAAGAGTGATATCGTAGACAAGAGGAAGTCACAAAATAGGCTTGATCCAGTTTTTTGGGGTAAGACACAATAACGTCGCACGGAAGCACCCAAGGTGAATTTCAACCAAAGAGAGAACCTCTGGGTGTAAGAAATGAAAGTCTGACCCGCTTTGCCATAATGCTACGATCTTAGATTTGGTAGGTAAATTTTGGTTTGACTGTCAGCCGGGCCCTCGGGACCGCCGCCTGTCTGACCTAGGTTCAGGGATGTGGTAGGTAAATTTAGGTTTGACTGTCACCCTACACTAGGGCCGGCTGCTAGAAGATACTACGTAGTAGAAGATACTACGGATTATTGCCGTGCTGCGTGGGTCATTAGAGCGTGAACATTCGCCTTGGTAAGTAAATTTTGACTGCGTGGGGCACTCTAACATATGAAATTAGGGAAGTGTGTTACACGTGAGTAAGTGTATATTATATAAAATGTGAAACCAAGTCAAGATGGTGAAGAAATGTGACGCGGTGTATTTATTGAAATATGAGGATATTTATGATCTAAGAATTAACTATATTCCGCAAAGGAATTTCCCTTCAATAAACTAAGCCCTATTCCACACATACACGTAACCAACCGTCCATTGCCAGCTTTAGAATCTGCCCACGGCACATCATTATCGCAGTATTGTCTAATGTCAACAAACGACCTGACGATAACGCGAAATACCCGCCAAGTTCGATGACTCGATGACAGATGTTGACATCGTCGTACTTTACCCAGAGAGAGAGAGAGCGACAGAGAGAGAGAGAGAGAGAGGGAGGGCATAACCTTACAAAGGCAAAGAAATGGGGTTTAACGTCCACTCAACACAAACTAGGTAATTTCGGGACTAACACATGGTTCAGTTTTATTTTATGAATTCCATTGGGCGTAGGGGGTCTTTAGCATTGTGAGGTACCCGAAGGACCCGGAGAAAACCTACGAGGTTGGACAGGCGACCCAACTCCTTGCCACGTACTCAATAACAGACCCTGTGATTTCAAGCGCACGCGTTAAACCACTTACCGTCTTCACTTACCAAATATAAAGACGAGTTTGTGTATCGTCGAAAGTCGTGTTATGAAATTCCTATTGTTGTTTTATATTCGGGAACTCCCATGGTGCAAACTCCATGGACAAAATCAAACACATCGAATGGTAATAGACGTGATTTGACGGAAATACGAAATATTAAAACACGTCTATCCATCGCTGCTTGTTAAATGTTTGCCTATTTGTGACCGTAATAAATGTACCCTATTTAGTGGTAATATGTTTCTTTCTACTCAATATAATATAAAATGTAAGCGGATGCTCGATGCCTATACTCAAACAACTGAACACAGTATACAGAGGCGAATAACCACGTGTATAAATATTACAGTGTATTGTTCTGTTCAATGATCTTTCTCTACTCAAATCCAAACACATCTCGCGTTCTAATGATACAGACACGGTTAAATGGACAATAAACCCCATTTGAATTAGAAATAGGGAGAGTTCATCTCCTAATAACTCTTACATACAGGCATCTTCTTTCATACTATTAATTTTAAACAAATGAATCTTATTCAAATGGTTGCAAATGAATCTTATTCAAATGACAGTATAGTGGTTGAAAATGAAATGAAATGAAATTGTGTGTGACGTCCTTCTGTTCTGCCCGACTGCAATACTTACGATGATATTTGGGTAACCTGTTTTCGATCATGTACTATACCAATACCAGTAATAACCTTATGAATATTAATACAAGTAATAACCTTATGAATATTAATAAGATTCACCCATTTACCTATAAACACAATACTGCCAAAATCACTGAATAGAAAATAATTACGTTTTCTTGTTGTAACCGGTAAACCACCTCCGGTTGACTTATTTTTAATCCGTTTGGCGAGTCATGGAGCTGGTGTATAAAAGGCGAGATATTGAAGGTTTTCATCAATCCCGAGTGTAGTAGGTTCACATCGAGTACGTTTTGTTTACTAAGTAATAGGAAAGACGTAAATATGTCCTGGTTCCTTGGTTGGTTTTTACGTCTGTTGGGTGAGTAAAGTAGATTTATTGTGATTTATAGTTAAACATGCAGTATTATATAAGATGAGAGAGACAGAGAGAGACACAAACTAGGCCATTTCGGGACTAATATATGATTCAATTTTATTTCAATAATTGGCTTGCGTGTAGGAGATGGAGAAAACCCACGAGGTTGGACAGGTAACTCTACTCCTTGTAACGTACAACTGGGGAATCACAACCACGCCAGTTGACTCAATGACAGACCTTATGATACAGCGCGCACGCACTAACCCTTCGGCCATCCAACCCCAGTTGTAAGATTAAATAAAGAGCTGACCTTTCTCGCTAATAGTTCAAAAATAGATAATGAAAATTCCAGTCAAAGTACTTCGTTCTGAGCGAGGTTTGGGTCTGTTTGGAAAATAATGTAGTCTTGATAGTCATTGCTAACGTTGTTACGATAGTAAAAAAGAGTTTCGATTATTCTTTTTTAAAACAAATCATTAACCGCTAATTGTATTTAAATCTGTTGACAATCAAAAACACCCGATGTTCTGGACAGTTAATTATGATATTGGCAAGTTAATAAATCAGAAAGACCTTCAAATAGACAGATTTACCTCTTCTAGACTGCATTTTTAAACAATAATAAAAAAACAACCTAAAAATACCTTAGCGAAATCTATTTGTTTCTCAAATATATCGTTAATTAAATCAATAAATATAATTATATAATCTCTGTAATATTTTGAGATTTTCTGGTATAGATCAAATCCTACAGCGTTGGTTTTCTCCAACACAGTTGTACACGTTACTAAACAAATTGGACTTTATATAAGGGTCAACCAATTGGAACACCTGGCATTGTTCCTTCCACTACCTAGGGTGACGGACTAACGTTTAAATTGAATGCACAGCACCTGCATAGGCGTGACACAGGTGCGTAGCACAGGCGCGTAAAAAGTATCAAAAAATTCTAAATTTAAGGGAAAACAAAGTTTATTTGAATTTGCTATATTTTAATTTTCTTTGTACTAACATATTTTTCACCTTTCATTATAATCGGGGGCGAGAGAGTGGGGGTAGGGGATAGAAGCGGCTAACTGCGTGTACATCATATGTTCGATACACACGGTTTGAGAAGAATCGCTCACCTAGAGGTTCTGTGTTCGATACACACGGTTTGAGTTAGATCGCTCACCTAGAGGTTCTGCCTTGTCAGTGGCAAGGGCCAGGGTACAGTCCATCGGATGGGACGACTAACCGGGATACTGTTGTACACGTAAAAGAACCCCTGAGCCTTGACAGTTGAAATTCGAAATAAGAATAAACTGCCCTCTAAGCACACTGTATGGTGTATGCCCGTCTTCATTAGGTCAGTTGGAGCAGAACGGTGGACGTTAAACCCCATCATTTTATTTCATTTCATTCGTCTCCTGGTAAACATCTACTCCAATCAATAGGACTATAATGTGTACCTTTCTCTATACCTGGCTTACATATTCCCGTGGGTTGAAATAAACAATATATATTCATGTTATTTTCTGAGTCAATGAAAAACAAATCTACCCACACTGAATAGCTAATTCTACAACAAACCCTTTGTACACGACTACACTTTAATCTGTTGGTATTTTCTCCACAAAACAAATCTCTACATCTAACGACCCTACCTTAACAAAAGATCAACAAAAAGACTGACATTTTCATCCCAAGACGAAAATAAGAGAGATACAGCCTAAGTTTATATAAAAAAAATCACTTTGTTAAACAATGGCAGAATCTAAAAATACCAGGATTAAATTCTAATAAAATGTCATTCAACTGTTTTATCTATAGATTCCACTGTATGTGATTACAGGCTGTTTTATCTATAGATTCTGTAGATATTTTATTGTAAATCGTGATAATTATACTAAAAGATAATCGAAGTGACGTAGTTTACCATTCAGTTTTAGAAGTCAATGTCGTTTGAAATCACATAGATCTACAATAATATGTATATATTTACTGAATTTAAGAACATTCCCTCCCCCATTGGGCAGGTATAGATTACACTTCAGCAATATATACTCAGCCAAATTAAAAACTTGACACTCGGGATTTTTGGGACTAGATTTTTAATATTTGGTTTAAGGCAACTATTTTAGTGTTATGTTGTGCACAGACGACCTTGACATCAACAGAAAGCAAGAATACGTCTCGCCGAAAGTCCTTGACATTGATAACATTCGTGATGTCACAGTACCCCCCCAAAATGAAATTCACAGACTTGGAGAACAATCGGAATAAAGTGTTTAGTAACGGTTGTGGCCTCCTCTAGCGTCTCGTACTGCCACACAAAGTCTTGTCATGGATCTCAGAACATTAGTAAACACTACCCGAGAAAGACGTCGCCACTGCTTAGCAAGAGCATGTTGAAGGTCCTGCAACGTCAGTGGTGGATTCACTTGCTGACGAACACGTCGACCCAGTTCGTCCCAGATGTGTTCAATAGGATTAAGGTCGGGGCTAAGCGACGGCCAATCCAGGACTTGGACACCGGCATTTCTTAAAAAATTCTGGGTAGCAATTGCTGTATGGGGTCGCGCATTGTCTTGTTGAAACGTAAGTCCAGGCCCATGTCTGCATAAACGGAAGAAGAACAGGTTGCAAAATCTGATCCCTGTACTGGACAGAATTTAAGTTCCCTTGGACAACAACAAGAGGAGAACGTCCATGTTTACAAAAAGAACTCCAAACCATGACGCTGCCGCCACCAAATCGGTCAACTTCTCTGACGCATACTTGAGCGTAACGTTCACCTCGTCTGCGGTACACCCGGACCCTGCCATCGGCAAATCTCGAAGTGAATCGAGATTCGTCACTAAAGACAACCGAATTCCACTGTCTTTGAGTAAATCTTAAATGTCTTGTGGCCCACACAAGTCGGTTACGGCGATGAAGAGGTGTCAATATTGGTCCATTATAGGGCCTCCGAGCTCGAAGACCAGCTGCCTGCAAGCGATTTCGAACAGTTTGTGCAGTTACCCTTCTACCAAACATCTCTCTACTTGTGGAGGTTGCAGTGACAAATCTGTTTCTAAGATGACGTAATCGTATTGCTTGATCTTCCTGGAGTGACGTCACACGTAGCGCTCCCGCGGTCGGCAATAGTTCCAGTTTGAAGCACTCTCATTCTAAGATTTATTATTGTCTGGCGTGAACAATTAAAGGCTCTTGCAACAGTGACCACAGACTGACCAGCATAGAGCCTACCTATAGCACGTAGACGTTCTACATTTGAAAGGCGCGGCATTTTCTAACAAAGATGAAAATAACAATTTTAATTTGTTTTTCCAGTTCAAGTTACGTGTGCGTGTTCAGTTTAAGCAAACTTGCATCGATTGACCTCACGAGTTTGTGTTTGCACGTGTTTTTCAGGTTTTTCATCTTTATATGCTCAAAAGTCACGTGATCCACCTGACTTTACAATTTTATGAAATTAAAGGCTTCTTACTACTTACTATCGTTAGAAACACTTTAAAATTTATTTGACTTACCAGAAAATTTTTTTGTTAGAATCCATCTGTGTCAAGTTTTTAATTTGGCTGAGTATATGTGTTACGTATAATTATTATTTTAAGAAATTTCATTCGGATAGCTCCACTCAGTTGGTCATTTGGTCTGCCTTTAAACAGAGAATTTACACGGTCCAATTCAGTTCTCGTTTAGGTTGAAGACAAACAAGATAACTAGTCATCACCATCCCATGTGCCCTTGTACTTCTTGGAATATCAATGGGACTAGTCAGAAAGTTCATACTCTGTTCACAATAGCTCGGCATGACACGGTCGCTACTCCCTGTAAAGTTTACACAACCTTTACCTACCACAATTAACTAATGTATGTTAAATATTAATAGGTTGATCTTGTGCAGGAAAAGTTCATCAAGGGTTTCCCTTATCAGGATGGAGGGCTTGACAAGGACAGCTGTCTAGTCGTTCGAATTGGCGTGCACTTAAAAGATCCCATGGTAGTTGCAATTCGATGTAACAGTAGACCGTTGCGCCGCTGCCCGTCTTAATTAGCCCAGTCGGAGCAGAAGAGCGGGACGTCACATGGACTTACATACCTTCGGGTAGCTAACTGTTCATTCTATTCAACCAAGAACATTGTCCCTACATGTGGAAATTATTAAGTCCGTAATTAAATACATGTATATATGTAGTGGACGTGTATATATGTAATTGACGTGTATATATGTAATTGACGTGTACATATGTCATAGTGAATGGACGTGTATATATGTAGTGGACAGTATAGCTTATATTGTAGATCAATAACGTGGGGTTCAATGGGTTCATATATGTGGTGTTTTAATTGGTTCGATGCATCTAAATAAATATTTTACATGTATAAAACATATTCTTAATATGATATGATGCAGCAGATGGTTTTCCCGGTACCTGGGACAAATCTCCCCCCCCCCCCCGCCTTGAAAAGTTTTCAGAAATACATGGTCTCTATCATCATTTTTACGTATGAGTTGTTTAAAAAGAGAAATCCAACACCCTGTTTGACGTCAATTTTATTATGAATTAATACGATGACATTGGGATTAAATTTCATTGATGCGAAGCATTAATTGTGATATCACATATGAATAATATATCATTATTTCACGCTTTGAATGCCTATCCCATCCCACGATCTGATGATAAAGGATAAAGCACACGGCAGTGATACTTTTCTCATAAAAAGTGTTGTTTTACAATTTTTTTATGTAGCCTAGCAGGCGGGGTGGGGTGGGGTGGGGTGTCACACCAGCGTCTTATTCGCTTAGTCACCGTGGCTACTCTAGTGTATTACTTTCTGTTCTGTACAGATGTTGATAGCTTCTAATGAAGTTAATACTACATAACACCTGATAACACTTATTGTTTGAGGAGTACATACAGCTGGACCCAGTTGTGTAATTCGATGTTTATATTTAAGTGAATTTGTAGAACACTGTCGATATATGTACAAACCAAATGAGGCGTGGCAAGCGTCATCTAATTTAAAGCTTTTTTTTATTTTCTATTTCAGGGTTTACCACAGTAATCCAATCAACTATTAACTTGGAGTGGATAGTAAAAGCACAAAATGGTAATATACCATCTACGGCTATCCAAATCAAACCCACTAGGAGTTCTGTATTTTATTTCTGCGAGGTTACCACTGTGGAGGTAAACATTAGTTTATTTATTTTATTTAATTTGTCGAAATATTAAAGCTAGGAATGATGGTATAACATTGCCTAGTTTACATAGATATAATATTACTATGTTTCAATACAAAAATAAGTGGCATCATGTCTTCTATAAAGAGTGAGCATACCATGGCTCTTGCACTACACCCTCCACAACTTTTAGATTAATGGGCAGATAGAATTAGACGGTAATAGGTGGGTGATAGCCCTGGTTAAAAAGTCACCAAGACAGTTGTTTAAATACAGGCGTGCAATATAGAATTTGCCTGAATTTAATCCGCTTGACAGCCAGATTGATACGAATATTTTAATTCACGTGTCATTATGCTATTTTATTTTATGAATGACGATGGTCCATATATATACATCGAGATCAGTAACAAGAATTCATTCGCAAACTATTTAGTTGCATACGTTACAGCGCTACAATTTACAATTGGAAAAGGTAAAAACACAGCTATCAACTAATTTTGATCCCCATTTGTTTATAGAATTTGAAACATATGAACCAAATCCTAAAATGCGTTTGACAAAAAACCAAAAAAAACATGTTCTTTTTGACAAAAAACCCCAAGCAACACGTCATTATTACGTGGGTTGATAATAAAGTATTTGAATCTTGCATATATTTCAGGGACAAAAAATACTTGGAACACTAAAATCAACAGACAATTCCTGTAAATACGAGGCAAACGGTAGTGTTACAAGCTCAACAGAGTTCAGCGTTCTCAGTAACCCTAATGGAGCCAATATAAAATATACATACAGGACATCGAAACAGATTCCTCCTACTGGTGCCGTTAAATGTAATCAAGGCAGTTACTGTTTCTTAGGCATAGGTGTTTATAATGACGGAATATGTGAGGAACTCCCCGGAAAAATCGTCGCCCCTAAAAGTCAATTGATTATGACGACTGCCAATAACGAAGTTAAAACATGTGCGTCCATACTGTACTTGACAAAAAACTGATTTAATTTGGTATAAACAAGGTGTATATATTAAAACTAATTGTGATTATTATTATTATTATATCAACTGATGTTAGCCATTATAATCAATGACGTATCAATCGATAGCAAATTGAGTACTGCACACCCCACCCCATCTCACCCGACCCGCTGGTCTGTAATTCCCCTTTATTCAGTCAGTTTGAGTTGTTATATTTAATTGGGCTACTTGAAGTTCTTGAATTCCATTCTCACATTAATACCAGCTGGAACACCTTCCAAATACATTAATACCAGCTGGAACACCTTCCAAATACATTAATACCAGCTGGAACACCTTCCAAATACATTAATACCAGCTGGAACACCTTCCAAATACATTTACTGTCCTGACTCTGGTATTACTAAAAGGTCCTTGTGTCGTGTAACCCAATTGGTAAAGGAAATCACGGTCGGGTAGGCCAGTGTGGTATAATTATAATGGATTTTTTCTACTTTATTAGATATAACGTTATAGTCAGACAGAACTATGGCTGAACCCGGAAACTGTATACAGAGTATTTTTATATGATTGATTTTAGTAGCTTATTGTGTCCTCCTCTTTCACAATCTACAACTAGAACTTCGGCCCACGATGTCTGCCATTTCAAATAATTCCCTATAACTACCATGGTATTTAGTCTAATTGTAGTGTCTAACCTGAAATCGTTCATTATGTTGTGGAGTGATTAGATAATAGTAAAATTGAAACTGGCAGACATCTGATGAGCCGCATGACAGACTCATGAACACGTTGACCGGTTGTAATGTTCATACTTTAGTGTCCTGAACCCAGTCATATAGTACCGGATCCAGATCCGATGAAATTAGAATATGTTCAGGCTTGTAGCTATCGGAGGGGGTGGGGTGGGGCAATGGAAGGCGCCCTTTCCATTGGACCTAATACGAAGCCAACGACCAACGTGTCCATATCAGTATGGACGCCACATAAAGCCGAGTGACATTGGCGGGGCGCTCAATCAATGTCAATTGGTTTTATGGGCGCCTCGCCAATCATGTCGTTATATATGAGGCGCCCCCCCCCCCCCCCCAAATGACATGATTGGTGGGACGACTTATAATCACAATATATGATTGTCGGGCCGCATATATGCATAATGCCGAGTAAGATTGGTTGGGCGCCCACGACTTGATCAATGGGGTGCCCAAAACGGTTTGATTGGTGGGGTGCTTCATCCCGGAGGCGCGCCCATATTGCCGAGATTGGTGGGTCGCCAATAATATAATTGTAGGGGAGCCCATAATACCGAGTGAGATTGGTTAGGCGCCCACGAATGAATTGGGCGCCCAAAACGGCGTGATAATCTTCAGAATTCAAACAAGTCGCACTCTAACATGATATGATTCCGAACTTTACGTTTTTCTCATAAATTATTATAGGTACGCTAAAGTCATATTTCTTCACATTTTTATAATGTTCATATCAAAATATCATAATACGCCAATATAGCAAATTCAGCCTTAAAATTGAATTTTCCGTCAGTTTCGGGTGCAAACCGTATTTTCCCAAATTTTCCTAGGCGTGTCCACGGTACCGTTCGCCGTGGACTGGCAAGAGTAGGTACATCGGCGCCCCCCTGAGGCCTTTGCCCCCCCCCCACCCCCCAAACAACTTTGGGCTATCTACGGACCTAGTGTTATTTCAAAATCTTTATAATCATATCTATGACCAACATTAAATTTTACAGAATCAATAAGGAACCCAAAAGAAAAGAATAGACTGCTTGTGTATTAGACATAATTTACCGGTGTTGATTATTGTATCTTTAAAATATTACCTTGGTTAATAATATGATAACAATGAAACTAAGTATATACTGATAAAGTATATTGTTCCAAACAAATCTTGAATACATCTGATAATAAAGTATGTACAGCAATAATAAAGTAAAGGTACATTCTGTAAGAGCTCAATCTTCCGATTGCAGATCTTTAGTTTGACCTTAAATGTTATATAAATCACTTATACTAAGCCCATAATCAACTCTCTAAAGCATCCAATGGTTGTGATTTTCAACGGATTTAAACATGATCGCCAGTTAATAATTTGATCAATAAATGGATAACCAAGACTTGGTTTATAATCGTAAAACAGATAACAATGACAACCGAGACTACGCTATTCTTCAAAATGGTTTTGTTATATTCTCTTTTCATAATCTATTTTAACTATTACCAGCGGCTGCCAGTCAGGATACGCCCACATTTTCGAGAGATGGATAGAAAACAAGCTAAAACGAAAGTGATTTTTCCTACAATCAAGGGCCATAAATAAGGAAATTACAATTCGATATGCGCAAATATCGAAAGGAACCAAGATCTGTGGGTTATAAACTTACATTTCAAGTTTCAACAAAATCGGATAAAAATTGTGACCTCTATAGGGTCCACAACCTTGATATACCATATTTTTACGCAATTTGAGAACGAGGGGCGGCCATTTTGTCTGTCAGTTTTGGGCCGATTTTCACGAAATTCGAACTCAGTCGTCCTTAGGGTGTAACGGTGATATAATAATATGTTTTTTTTAAAATCAGATAACAATTATGACCTCTATAGGGTCCACAAGCTAAAAACGCGATTTTTCGAACAATCAGGGGCCATAATTCAGGAAATTGAGATTCGATATGCGCGAATATCGAAAGGAACCGAGATCTTTGGGTTATAAACTTACATTTCAAGTTTCAACAAAATCGGATAGAAATTGTGACCTCTATATGGTCCACAACCTTGATATACCATATTTTTACGCTATTTGAGAACGAAGGGCGGCCATTTTGTCTGTCAGTTTTGGACTGATTTTCACGAAATTCGAACTCAGTTGACCTTAGGGTGTAACGGTGATATAATAATATGTTTTTTTAAATCGGATAAAAATTATGACCTCTATAGGGTCCACAAGCTAAAAACGCAATTTTTTCGTACAATCAGGGGCCATAATTCAGGAAGTTACGTTCCGATATGCGCGAATATCGACAGGAACCGAGATCTTTGGGTTATAAACTTACATTTCAAGTTTCATCAAAATCGGATAAAAATTGTGACCTCTATAGGGTCCACAACCTCAAAACGTGATTTTTCGTGCAATCAGGGGCCATAATCCATGAAGTTACGGTCCAATACATGCCAATGTCGAAAGGAACCGAGATCTTAGGGTGATAAACCTATATTTCAAGTTTCATTGAAATCGGATAAAAATTGTGACCTGTAGACTGTTCACAAACAATTGTGGACGGACGGTCGGACGTCCGGACGGACAGGGCCGACGACAATATACGTCCACATGAAAATGTGGGCTTATAAAAACGAGCATTGTCAGCTCTATGGAACTCTTACATCATCTATTTATAAGATCTATTAAAGTAAAAATTGTTTCAAGAACAATTTAATGTCATTAAAGTTTCTGGTTCAGAATAAACCCATTTAATGGCTTTAAATTTAAAATGAGGTTTAGGAACAATAAATAAACTGATCTGTTTACCAAACCCTTTAGATACAAATTCATTTCTAATCCAAATTCTTCTCAAAAATTAATAACATTAGGCAAACAATTGAAAAGCTTTTATATCCAGTTATAATGCCCAAAATCCATGAATTGTTTGCCAGTTAATGCATCAAAATGGGATTTGAAATTGCCTACATGAAAGATTGTCAACATACATTGTTTTAAGTGTTTGATACATCTAAATACCTGGTCGACCTCTTCTTGAGTCATTGGGCGTAGATGGCTGATATCTATTACAATTATTATAACTATTATATCGCCATTGGTCCTGTCTCGGATGACCACATGAAGTTATACGTAAAAAAGGAACCTTTGTCACATTTCCTAATTACTTTAAAAATATAATCTTCAAACAAATAGGTCGTTATAGGCGTATTGATATGACCCATTTAGTAGAGAATTTGTACTGAACTTGACCAATCAAAGAAATCGAGCCTAAACACGGATCGAGCCCGGAATCTAACTTAGCCATCGCGGTTATTATTTGTTTATAATAGACACTAATACAAATTTAAATATTATGTTCTGGTTAATTTATCTTGAGGTACAATATGTTAAAGAAATCCTGCCACATGAAAAACTAAACTGATAGAAGCCAGCTAGCTATGATGCGCTGGATTTATAAAGCGAATACCAGTACGTAAACTTTGGATTCGCATGTTTAAATTTTTCTTTGTTTTGCCGATAGTCTTCCGTGTAATACTGGGCAACTCGAGACCTTTACAAACGAACCTATATTAACTGGTATACATTCAGTCATCCTCGGTTACCCAGTGTATTCATTCCGTTCTACTCCACTATACCCTGGGTTAATCTATGGGGGAGACACGTTTTCAAGTTATCCGCCCTTGATGATTGTGCTATTTTTATCGACCAATCCCATAAATAGTTATTTGAAAAGGAAGTTGGCAAAGGCAAGTAACTCTCATCGGATAATGTTAGGAGTTGGCCTATTCTAAATGCGTCATTATTAACAACCAAGTATATGTTATGTTAACGAAGACCAGGCCATAGGCGTACGGACTCGCTGACATTTAGGTCGGCAGAACCCGAAATGCCCGCAAAAATTTCGGGTTTACAGAGAGCGCCAGTCTTCCTTGACAGGCCAAGAGAGCGGAGCTTACCTTGCCCCCCCCCATCCCCCTCAAACACATTTTCCTGCTATTTCAGCCCGTGAACAAAGTAACTTCAAAGTGGTCTAATATAGCCTTATTAAGGTGGCTGACTCGAATTCCAATCAATCGTTAACAGTCCACGAAGACGGGACCGTTGGGAGAAAATTTTGAAATTTTAACTGCCGCAAACGCGTTTTCCTGCTATTCCAGCCTGTGAATACAGCAACTTCAATTTGGTCCAATATAGTCTACCTGGCTGACCGGAATTCCAAACAACCAATCAATCGTCGCTGGGTTCGGGGTTATATCCTTCCGGAGAAAATTTTGAAAATTTAACCACCACAAATGCGTTTACTCCAAAAGAATCCAATGGTTTT